GTGGCGGTCAGACCATGATATGACGAGAGGTATGAAGAAGCTTTGACTTCGGTCGGTGCGGCCCACCTTCCAGGTTGGGGCCCAAGGGATAAGGTTAGACGCTGAAAGATGGCCCAGAATAGAAGTCAGGGGCGCGAATGCTGTTCGATCTGCCCGTCGAAATCCCGTGCCCCATAAAATAACGATAAATTAACAAAAAAATCAAAAAGTGTAAGGTGAAACACAAAATTTCCTATCCCAGTTATCTATAATTTTCCATTTTAACAGCTTCGCCTTCTTTTCATTCTGTTCTAGATCCCAATCCACCCATCCGCTGTTATTGTCATTGTTCTTATTGTTGTGGCGCTGGCACCATGCTTGTCCGCAAGCCGGTGTTAAATATACATGCATATTCATGTTTGTCCCCACTGAGACTCAAATTGCAAGGTTTCGAGTGCAGTGTGGAAACCCTTGCTCTCGAGGAACCACGTGGTGTAAATACAAATGGGTATCCCATTCATATCACCGTACATTCAAGTGTTTGTTGTATACCTCAGGAATATGAATTTCGGTTTACAGCCCTTGATGTTCCCTGTTCGTTTTTCAGCAGGGACGCAGATATTTCGCATTTCTAATGATTCCCAGTTGTATGGAGTTCTTTGATGGCCTCCATGTAACATTGTTCGAAAATTGATCGCTCTCTTGCAACTTACCTATTATTTTAAGGATCATTATTTGTATGTTAGGCTTTCGCTCTATCCAACCTTGGTGTACCACTGAAATAAGAAGAGCTACTTGTTGAAACGCGAATGCACTGTAACAACAGCATTGGCATTTGTGACGTTTTTAGTGTTTGGCTACTGTTTAACTGGAAGTAGTGTGTTATAAAACACTACTTATTGTGTTATTTTCCGAGTGAATTTCTGTCCACCGACCAGTTACCGTTTAGCTCCCTAAAACATCGCTGTTTCCTTTACAGAAAGCCGTAGCGGACAACGAGAAGCGTCGCCGAGCAGATGCGTTACGAATGCTGACCGCAGCCACTGAGGACACCTCAAGTTCCTCGACGTTGCCCAGCCTCCCTAATGCTCCAATAACGCGAAAGCCGAAGGACGTAAGTAGAACCCATGAAGAATTTGGTCACACAACAGAAAAACCGAAATTTCATGAAGTGTTTTCCAGAACCATTATTAAACTTTTACTGCAGATATATTATCCACTAGGTAGTATGAGTCTACTTAATTCTATAAGTGATTGCTGTTTATTTTCGAAACAGTAATCAGTTTAAACTTGAGTTGATCTAAGTCCATTCCAATCTTGATATACCGAATACGGAACAAGTACCGTTGTAAGCCTCTCAAAGGTATTTTTTCTACACATTATCGATCTTCAGAGGCCTCTTGTTTATTCGACCAAAATCTCATTCAAACTGTATTCAGAGATCATACTCCTTGGATCATTTATCGTATGAATACCGTTTATCTACAAGAATCAGGTTAGTTTCTATCATATTGTTTTTAAATGGACTTATTGTTGAGGAGTGGTAAAAAACAGCTTACTTCACTAAACCTTCCATGTCTGTGTTCTAGTATTTCAATTTGGTATTGTTCCCATTTACTATTTTTCCTTGAATCTTTTTCCATTTGCAGTTTTTCGATGAATTCTTGAGCACGCAGCTCCAGATGGCGGCGTTAACTTTCACCTTGCTTTTCTTCTCCAGTTGCGGCTGTCTTCTTTGAGATTTTTGCATCCCTACATATTACGGGATATTGAAATGTGTCTAAGCGAGCACGTATCCCCGGTGTGTAATGCAATCTGTACTGTGCAGCTAGATACATCAATTCCCTTTTTATCATGGTAATCTTATGGATAGTGTTCTTCTTGGTGCAGTTAAAAGCGGAAGGGGTGAATTTCGTTGTCACGAGAATCTACTATAGAGCTATGGAACTGACAGCCTTAGTCTTGAAACTTGGAGTAGCGATGTACGTGAAATCTTAGTTTACGTTAATTCTCTATTTCCACTTTGACAGTGCTTTCAGAGCGATAATGGGTAGTCAAATGAAGCCCGGAGGTGCCTGATCAGCTGGCCTTGTGAGACTGAACTTTGTCTAGCCTTTACCCGTCGACCTTTCAGACATGATTGGATCTGCGGCAGTAAAAAGCCATCTTGTGTAGCTCGTAGGTTCCTGGAAGCGCACAAGACATCACATTACGTCAAGGCGCAATGTCCTCGTGATTTCGCTTATCTAGATTGCATTATGCTCCCTGGATGGAGACATCGGTATCATCGTCCCCGTTGGTTAGAGACACTGGTTGATGTGGCTGAATGTCGTAAACAGTGGCGGTCGTATATCTACTTGATGTCCTTGCAACCGTAGTCTTTATGATTCCCCTTTTTCACCCTGATACGCATTTGAATATTCCAATCTTCCTTTTACTTTTCCGTCCAAATGGGTAACCAAAAGGTAGAATTCAAAACCGTCGCATGAAGTTGCTTGATTAATAGTTTCAAAGACCTGACTGAACAAGAGACTTCTTTTAAATCATTGTGATATTGAGCCACTAAGTGTTATGAAACCATTTTGCTAATAGATCTTTCATTTTCGTACTATCGATACCTGCTTCTTGACCAAATTAATCTGAGCAACTCAACACAATTAGTAGAATTAGTTGCTCAAGCTGCATTCTTCTTGGCAAGTGCGTTAACGAAGGCAAAACACAGTCGTGAATACCGAAAACTGGCTTCGAGTTTGCTTTTAAGTGGTACGATCACAAACCACACTTATTCAGGTTCTGCTTCTGCTCACTGTCTCGTATCTGGTTCAACGGGGATAGCCGATCAGAGGTATTTATCACGTTCACGTCTTCCTTTTTAAGCTTTCATCTTCAAGAACGATGCGTTTTCTCCCTACGAGGTCCTTCATTAGATCCTCGGTTGGGTCAGTGACTTGGTGCCGCTTATGATACTGAATGTAATCAAAATATCCCCATAACACCATAGAACTTTCCGTTGTGATCGGCAAATAGCACTGAGTAGCTGTTGGGACCCGTCAGCAGTGCGTCCTTTTTTGTCCCTGCCCGGAATTGATTCGTGACCCTTCGGTTAAGAAGTAGAAGCCCTTACCCTTGTGCTGCACTTTCTATTGTCAACACTTTAAAAGAATGACCCAATCAGTGCAGGGTGTTGTGTTTGGTTTAGCCAACCCGATTGTTTACAGACACTATCGGTAGTCTTCAATGTGAGTTCCTTTCTTTATGGTTCGTTAAGTACATACTGCTGAAGAGTCCCAACAAGGACGAAAGAGTTGAACCATGGTGTTTTTGCAAACATCACATAGATTTTTATCTCAAATAAATGTATTTAACATGTGAGCAATGAACGAACTCTCGAATAGTGAAACCCTCACCAAAGGATCGTTACTTGTAAGCAATCTAATGGGCCAGTCCAAACGGAATATTCTAAATTTATAGAATGTTTTTGAGTTTTAAACTCTATACGAACAAGTTCATTCTGTAATCGGATTAAATCATCCAATACTAAGTGGTTACTACCACTAGTTTCTCGTTTTTTTCGGCTTCATGAAGGCTGACTATGTGCAAGTTGCCTCTTGTGTACTAGGGGAATCATTATGGACATAATCGATTTGTTTCACTCTCGGTGACTCTCCATTGGAAACTGACTAATCACGTTTTATAACGTCCTTGGTTGTTTCTCCTCGCATTTATTTTCGTTTTTCAGAATCTAGATCCAGAAACTCAGGTCTGTTCCATCTCGGTTTTGTGCCCCGCTTCCTTTTCTTGTGTGTGTGTATCGGTGTTATCGATTCTTCACCAGTATACGAGCCCCTCTAATCGTTACCAAATGGGTTTGTGTGAATGGCTGATTATCCTGCTCTACTGATCTCCTTTTGTGAATCCCATACTATCTGTCTAACCGGTTTATGGTGAACATGAACAATTTTCTAATCAATGATTTCTAAAACTCATCACTGTCACACATCATCAACTGGGTCTCAAGGCAGTTTCGAATTCACTCGCATATAAGCTCATGTATTTTAATGAGCATACCTGCCAGTCATCTGCAGCATGTACCTTTCGGTCTCATTACCGGTTCATCTATTGTACTTTTCACTGGGTGCATCTGGGTCGGGGTCATTTTTGATTGAATGTGTTCTGTGTTGTTGTACACCAGCGCGGAATTCAAGCTGTACGACAAACTATTATAAATGATCCGTCATTTTCAACTGCTGATTGTATCTGCAATAGTAAAAGTTCGACTTAGTCCCTTTAAGAGGGGAACATTTTAACAGTCTCACAGATACTGACGCCCCGGTATGAATGAATCACTTCCATTTCAGTGCACAGGTGTGACTTAGTCAAGAGGAATTAATATGAGTGCTTATTACTTGCTTTGTTCTTCTACATAAAGCACTATTTTGCTGGCCATTAGCGATCTTTTACATTCCTGTTATTCACTCCCTCGGATGAATTAGAACACATTTTCGTTTATTTTTATTTGCTTGAGTTGCTGAACTGAAACGATTCCTGCGTTGGCGTGACTTTTCCCTGCAGCTGTAAGGTCTCGTATACTGCGTCACAGTTGTGTTATACGGTTTGAAAGCCTGATTTTGCATATGGAATTCGTCTGTCGACTGTAGGTCTTCGACCATCGATGTTTATGTAGGTTGGTGCAGGTAGAATTGAGCGAGTGCGTAAGTGACATCGAGTTTTGGGGGAAATTGTTTATCACACCTAATTCGAATGATTCGGTTGCGTTCGTTAGAACACGTATTGCGCGTGTCATCTTCCACATCGTGCGTTATTTGCATTTGCCAATCCAGGGTGGATAATATTACTTTGGGAACAACAGATGACGTGAGGCATATATAAATTTGTGTAAAGTGTTATCAGTAATGTTGCCGCGAGTTCAACTGTGTTGGAGGTTATTTATTCATCCGTAATGTGAGATGCGGCCTAAAAGACATCACCATCCGGTTTCATTCGTGTTTATACGTGCTTCATTTCAAATAATTCTTTATTTGTTCTTACCGCTTTGTCCAATTTATTGTTTGTTGCTACGAGTTCTTAGTCTGCTGTATCGCTATAAACCGCTGTTGCATTCACGGAAACTTTGCTACGTGAAATTCGTGTTCAATCATCAACGTGTTTATCTGAAATATTTGCACTAGGAAAGGGGATTGTGTCTCAGTTGATCGTAGTTGTATCAGGATGTAATTGGTCTCTAACGTGAGTGCCACTTCCTCGTTCCCCCTCATGTTCGACCGCATGTGTAGATCTGTTTTACTAATGGTAGCAAAAAAATAGTTTAATTAACGTTGATTACATCAGATGTTTGTCTACCAACTCGCACCACTCTAGGCTATCTATTCCGCTTATTTGCACCGACCCATGACACAATCAGTTAAGTTCCCTTTACTGTATTTTGCTGTTCAACAACGATTATAATGAGGATATCGTTCAAACTTCCACTTTGCAATTATTATGATCGTTACGATTCGAGGATGAAGTCAGCGAAGTTATGCGGACGCCCACCAGTTATATTTGCTTGAAGTGATTCATTTCAGTTTGTCATCTAACGACAAGGGAACTTCCTCTCGGCAGGTAATGGGTAGAAAACACCCGCACATTTAGATTAAAAAACTAAGTAACCCATTTGTGTTTCGAACCAATACACGGATGCCACCTTTGCTTTTGTATAGTGTATGCCCTACCAGCCGAACCACTAGGCCTGATCTTTCTACAGTTCAAACAAAATTGTTTATTATTTGTTGAGTTTCCTATCTCATGAGGTGGAGTTTCAAATAAGTTTGTGTTGGCAGATTTAAAGTGTGAACGCTCACACTTTTAGCTAACGACAAAATGGATGATACGTTTTTTAATCAAACCATGTGACTTTCAAACTGGCTTCCTTTTTGACAGAATGTAAAATCATCGCACAGAAGAATTAAGAAGCACCCTTCCATTGTTTCAATAATGGTCTCACGTTCACATATCATCTAACAGAACATTTCACTGAATCCCTCGAGATCCACAGGTTTCTTAAAAGATCAACATAAATTCTGTTATCACAAGAACAGTCAGTAATGTTTTGAGGAATGAAAAAATTATTTTCTATCACTTGGGTGTTTATGATGTCTAGTAACATATTCCCTATCGTGACATACCGGGCATCCTTGCATGTCGATCGATCAAAGGCCTATGGCGGTTTATTCAAATCAAAAGTTATTGTACATTTTCTTTGCTCTTGAGGGAACAACGGGAAAAGATACCAAAATCCTATCAGGAAAAAGAATACCAGACATAGAATACACCCCCAATAATGTGCTGATCCGCGAATGTGGAGCTGACGCGCAAACCTCCTGGACAAACTGATTCCATTCATCCACCATTTACCTCCAGAAATGCAAAGTCGTGGTTTTCGACTGGTTAGATCACGTATCAGCACTTAAACTCAGCGTCGAACCACTGAAATTAAATGTCTGACTCCCCTATTTGGATTGTGCATCCGCTAATTGTGTACAAAGTAGGGCAACAATCCGAATTACCAGGGTAATAGCAGTGTTCCCGAATTCGTCAATACCCACGGTGTCGAAAATCGTTACGCTATCTACGAAAGATCGTGTTTACAACTCTGCTTTCAGCTAAAGTGCTGGTTTATGGCTCTGAAAACTGACCTATCTTGGCAGAAGACATTCAAATATCTGAAGCTTTGGACGATAGATGTTTTCGCTGTATTGTTGGCGTCTAGTGAAAACGGTGCGTTGACACCGTCAGGGTCCGACGTAGCAGTTAATTTGGTTAGACTCTTTGTACGATGATGTCGGAATACAACTTGCGCTGGCTCGGTTGCATCTTACAACTGCTCCTTGGCCGCGTAATATGCAGTTCTTTGTTCGCTCACCTAGCATACAGCCAAACGAGGATAGCAAATGGACAAAGTCAGATCTGGATCAATGGAATATGAAGCTTACTATCCCATTTACCTGAATTCGCTTGTTTTAATTTCTTGACTGGAGACCTAGGGGTGACAACGTGTTACCGAAAGAAATATTACCAGACATAGCTCAGAGCCGTGGTCAGTGGTTGGTTGGCTTCAAACTTTAATTTTTTGAGTGTATTCAAATTCTCTGTTTTCGGGGTTTTGTCACCTTTTCCCCGTTGGTTCCACTAACTTGTTCTACATTAACCAATTCACTGGATTACGTTTTATGAAACTGGGAGTGGTCCTTTTTGGACTTTTCATTTTCCGCACTTTTGGGATCCATTTTCATTGTTTGTCTGTGTATCAGGTAATATCTACTGGTTGATTTTGCTTCTATCGGCAGTTCACCGTAATTCGCTTTCGTTGATTACACATCCTACTCCATTCGCCCCTTCCTATTTGATTATTCACCCCTGTTTGTTCGATTCGGCGGCCACATGCGTGCTCCGTTCAGCTTATCTGATCACCGTATCTTTTTGTTTTTGTTTTGTCTAGCGTCACTTGGCTCATGAGGCACGGGTTGCGAAACGTCGCTTCAAAAATCGTACTCGACAAATCACTGGAGACGGGATGATGGATGAAATTCTGGCCGGTATGTTTTGCTCTCCCGCGTACCGTCCGTTTTCTTTAATTCACATTCACCACTCATTAGAGGCAAAGTTCCGCTCAAGTCAGTCATATTGTTTTCCTATCCGTTATCCTTTCTGATATGTTCTTTACTGTCCGATTTCTGTTTCTTTTAACTGTGTATTTTACCTTCTTGACTTTACTTTTCGTCATGACAGCAACAGCAGTCCTATTAGTGTATGATTTGTCAGTTGCAACAAGACTGCGCTGATCAAGCACCCATTTGAATAAGTAATAGAGCCCGTGGACAAGTTTTGTTATTTGGGGAGCTATATCTCACCCGGTGGACGAATCACAGGTGAAGTGTCATCTCGCATACACAAAGCCCGATTGTCATTTGTCAACTTCAGACGTCTCTGGCGCCACCGCGACATCCGGCTGTCCGTGAAATGTCAAGTGTATACCGCGGCAGTTCGGCCATTTCTGCTAGACAGCACAGAGACTTGGCCATTAAGAAAACAGGATAAATTTAGACTGTCCGTGTTTGAACATCGCTGTCTACGCCGGGAAAGTGAACTAGCAATGCTGATGTTAGGCGCAGAGGTTTAGGTAACCGCGGTCGTCCACTGGAATAAGTAATCACCCATCATAGACTGCGTTTGTTGGGGCATGTGTTACGCATCCTACCAAATAAGTTACCACGGCGCGCGATGTTTGCCGAAGCAGGTAATTGATGTAGAAAATACCAAAGATGGTCAGACCTGACACGAGGGTATTAAAACCCCACCAGGAGACTTGGTCATATAGGTCGCGTTCCGCTCCCTGGATGACGACCCCGAGATCGTAGTAACCGGTGCTTAGAGACACTGAGTGCCGTAAACAGAGGCGTTCGTGTATTCTCTCAATTTCTTTGCGACCTTAGTCTGCTGAAATTCTCCATTTTCTCTTCGACTCTATTTTCAGCTTCTCTATCTTTCTCCGACTCCTGCATCCGAATTGGCAGGCAAAAGACAGCAACCAAAACCGGCGCACGAGAGTGCGGGGTTAACGGTTTTACAAACTGAAACTGGATTATTTACCAGGGTAACGCTTTGAGTTGACGTCATTGCTGAAACCGTTAGCCAAAATTCGGTTAAACGTGAATCACTGTTGGTGCACAATTCATCTGTCAGTTTGATCTTCATTATGCAATCAAATAGTGGTTTTGTGTGGAGAGTTGAGATAAGCGATTTGTCCCATTTCGATTCAACGTTCAATTCTACGCAGTTATCCCTTGCACTTGAAGAAAAAGTCGGTCCTTCTGTTGGGATACCTACTTTGTTTTCAAGCCCCTGGGTTGAGATTAAATAATAAAACGATTCAAATAAGCTTTCACGTAGACTTCGTCACCTGTTGCGCTTCAATTAATTTTTAATAATATGATTCCACTCGGAACCATATTTTACCACAAACTACTACTAGGAAAATTATACTCTATCGAAACCTGTACTGAAGAAGCTAACCTATGGCACTCGACTATCATCTACCAATGATGGCTACTTTTGTGCCGTGGAGTTTCACTGCTCAATTGTGAATCGAGAAATTAGCATTTACTATATTGGTGCAATTCCCAACCGAGTGTAGATTTAACATAAACCTAACTGTTCCACTTCTAAGGTGTAGTTTCGTACATGCTTTCACTGTCCCAATACTAGATCCACATTCGTCAGAAACACCCATAAGTAACCATTCCGTCGGTTGATAACTAAATGCAGTCCACTTTTATGATGATCCAAGAATTTCATTTCATTTCGGTTCAGTACCAATTACCAACAATAACCGCGACATATTGTTTTGCTTCAATGTGTGGTCTGATGTTAGCACTCACGATTACGTAGTCAACTATTTTTTCCAGAATACAGGTCTTGGCAAAAGGGCTATGTGAGCTGCGACCATGTGCTTGTCCTGGTGCGTTTGACAGTACACCTCATTTATCCCTGATTAGTACTGCAGACCCGGCTATCCCTTCAACAATTTGAGGGCGATCGGACACATTTAACGTTCTCTGTTTTTCTTCTTCCATTCGTTTTATCGTTGTTTCTGTCTGTTGCACTCATTTTGGCTTTTATGTGTATTTAATCCTTACCGATACCTTCGTTACAGGTTTGGTTTCCCAACCACTACAAGCTGAGGTGCACCCTCGACGTATCCGTGCATCAGACGACGCGTAGTCATTGCTTTGAAACACCTCAATCATAAACGATGGCGAATTACACTGCGGGTTCATGAGGACAAAGGGGACCTGAAAAAAAAACGGACGTGCTCCCCTTGTTGACATTAACCCCCGATCTAATGAACTGATTTTCAATTGTACAGTATATCGCATTCGTGACCCAGCGATTGCACTGACCAAGCAACTGGATTGTTTTGATGCTTAGTGTGTGTTTGTGTGTGTGTGTGTGTGTGTGTGTGTACGGATCATTTTCATCCANNNNCCACAAAATCACGAATTTTGTTGTCTTCTCAATCCCACTCAAATAAGTCAGCGGTTACTGTACATTCATTCATAGTATCCCCCCCCCACCCCTTCTCCCACATGTCACAAGTGTCATCGTCTGGGGCATTTTTTTATTCTTCAAGTGGGGGTTTGGAATCGCTCTTCTTCATTTAAAGTTCCTCCCTATTGTCAGCCTCTCGTACCACAATACCAATGATTTTCGCGCAACTTAAATACTCAAAACCAGTGTTTTGTTTCAACTCACGGATCCCAATGACCAAACAATTTTTGGACCAATTCCTTTGATCCATCCCAATTAAAATATGCTCTCAGATGACCCAATTACTCAATTACCTCCTATCGCACCCTGTTCCAAGCCCATCGGTTTCTAGTCAGCTTGTGTTTCATTCTCATAGTCACAACTCTGATATTCGCCTATCCGGAAAGTTGTTCAGCTTGTTCGTCAATGTCGTTGGTGCTTTGTTGTTATCACTATTGTTACTGTTATTGTTTTTATTTGTTTTTATTACGTACGAAGAATAAGTCATTACTTGGTCAACGAAAAGTTGGCCTGATTGTTTTTTTCCTTAATCAAACATTTCCGTTCACCGAGGACCTGTTTGATTTGCTATTCGCTACGCTCCTCGTCTTTTCATTTTTGCTCAATTGTCCATTTTTCTTGCTTAATTTATTTGATCAACTACCCACCGGTTCTGTATTCCACTTTCGCTATCGAATCATCTCTTCGTGATCGCTTCTCATCAGTCACGTGACCCATCGTAGCCTGCACATTTCTCTCCTAAACGATGCCCCGGTAATTATTTCATATTCTCTGCTTTTACTACTAACCGATTCGTCGATTTTTACACGGTAGCCTCTGCTTCTCCTTATTTGTGTAATGGATTGTGTTGGTTTGTGGGTATTTTTCTTACTTTTGAAATCTGATTTTTTTGTATATTTCATCATTACGTGTTTCCATACACTAAGGCCAATAATTTTACACACATCTATGCACAAATTGTGTGCACTGATGGCTTCTGTTCGGCAGTTGGTTTTTCTTGCTTCTTGGAAGTGTATAGCTTTAAATTTCTTGTTTGTTCTTAATTTCATTCTTCATGGGAAGATATGGCATGTTTTGCCTCTGGAATCTCCGCTAAGTCCGAAGTACCTTCTTCACTGACATTCTGCTCATTCTCCGGTTGTTCGATCTCTACGACTTTTAACAAACAATCTCCATACAGCTGAGAAACAGGTTCTATTCGCTCAGAACTAAATGAATTCGAAGTGTGCATATACAAACCTGGACGTTCTGCTGCTTCCTAGCCGTCCTTTTGCTAACTTAAGTTGATCGGTCGCATTCCTCGAAATTTCATTCAGTTAGACATAATAAATGCGTTTCTCCGTTTTTTCGGCTATTGAATGAGACAACAGTTGCACACCTGTCCTCCGTAGTCATCAAGTATTAGAGCTCGGGACCTTCCCCCGTACATGTGAAAAATACAACAAAATTGTTTGTTTTTTAATGGTGGTGATCAGGCTGTTAGAACCAAAACGGTGGATTTGTACAACTTGCACTGCGACCTAAGGATGAAACCAAACTACAAACTTTATGTGGTCTTCAGGCTGTAGTGGAATCTAGACTTTGGTCAACCTGACTGTCTGAATTACCATCTTAATTTAACTCTATTCGCGCAGCGAACTGATAACCACAGTACGGATTTCTTCTGGACACACGAACGGGGCTTGTAAATCCGAATGCTTACGGCTTCGGCCGTGGCTAGCTTGCGACGCTTCACAGTTCTTGATTGCCTACATCAAACCTTTGAAATCAGTCGAAACGCACTTACCACTTCCACTGAAAGAAATGCGAACACCCCACCCACGGTTGTTTTAATTATCCCTGCTTCAACGAAGCCGGGTTGTGGTTACGAAAACGATCGGATAAGCGCCTAGTCGTGTGGACAACGTACCCAGTCCCACAGGAACGAGTGATTGAGCATACATAGAATGAAGCTGCAGAGACTGGATCCCCGTTCCGTCAGTCAGCAACAATCGCTAATGATGAGTACAGCCCTTACTTGTGCAGCATGGAATATTCTGCTTACTGCATCTAAGAGCCTTCTTTGAATAGTTTGGTCTCTCCTGTCATTAGCGTATAGAATCTACTACCATCCACCGCCGCCAGTTTTAATATAAGTGGTGGCGTTCAATCCATTAGGTGCTGTGCCGTCTGTGACTTTCGATCTACTAATCACCACGGGCTTTTCTCAAGTGATCTAATGTCGATTGAAAGGTTTAACTTAGTACACAGTTTTCAAATTACTCGTGCCTCCTTTTTTCCTAACTCCAGCCTTCATCTTCGCGTAATCTGTCGCACTCTCGTGGCCCGCTTGTGCACAACTGATTCACGGTTGTTTGTTTGCGTCTATACGCCGAAAAGCAATTTTGTATTAATGTTTGCGGGTGTGCAGTTGTTGGCATTGACTGTATACACGCGTTATTGTGTAGGCCACGCTCGATTGCCCGTGTTGGTTTGCACGGTCTTTAGCATTGTACAGGAATGATCTCATTTTACTTCCTTTTACTTAATATACAAAGGTACCATTTTCATTGTCTAATTCAGTGGAGTAAACGTCAATCCACAGTATTTTTAATGAGGATAGAAAAAATTTCATTTCATTATTATGGTGAATTTCCTCATGTACAGAACCAATGAAGCCAGTTCGATCCTGGGTTGTTTCGATGGATTCGCATTGTTGAGGAAACCCAACTGGGTCGAAACAGCTGTCCAGTGCTTCTTCGTTCTGCAGTTCATTTCCTATGCAAGCGACGAAAATCACCATACAAAAGAAGGAATATTTCTCTATTGAAGGCAGTCAGCTGCGAAAATGTAAGAGTGACATTTCACAACATTGATTAACCTCGGGAGATCCGAATACTTTTTGACCTGGCCCTGTGACTAAAGCGCGTACATTGAAACCGAAGTACAAAGGATCGCGGTTAAACAAATGTGGATGGCGACGATAAAAATATATTTGCGCTTTTGTTTAACGCTTCATGGGCAAGTTTGTGGCATATATATATGATATATATAACGTTTATCTGGATTGTTAGTTTAACAGGACTGTGAGATGATGCGGAACATGATGAGTTCCAGTTTATTTGGATTTTGAGTCGCACTTCTAATCACCAAAACTACACTTCTTGATGCAGCCCACACTGCGTTGTTTAGCAAGATTCACGAGAAGAAAAATTAGAAGTTAAAGTTTCGGAACGAAGGGCGAAAGCCGGGTGAACTTCAAACTGATCTTTAACCTTCATTTGAGATCGACTGAACTGCAACTTACTTAGTGACAGACGGACTTAATTATGTCATGCATGTGTTTATTGACTGTATTTATAGCTCAGATTTTCGCAGCAAAAGCCTTTGTGGATTCTTTGATAGATATGGTTGACAGATCCCGTCCACTTACCATTCATCCTCTGGTATACCTAAACTCTTTTTTGTGGTTCCTGATTTGAATACAAATCTTGGGAATCACCGGTCCCACAGGATCTTCAAAAATGTGCTTAAACAAACGAGATATCTGAGGTATGACGACCAATAGTCCACAATTCGGGCGTGATTGAGTGATCTCGAGGTGCTTTTGTTTCAATTTTTAAGGACTACGCTTCGCAGCTTCTTCTCGCCATCTTGATGCGCTGTCAAATCCTATTGTTTTTTATTCTCTCGTTGTTGGTAGCATAGAATTCTCGATCAGACAAAACGGAAGCCAAGAAAATGAAAGGAGATCATACATACAGTTCTATGTTATGTTCACCAAATACATTCATGTCTTTCTTGAATTGACTGATTCATCAAGTGCGACCCAGCTGTCTGGTTAATGTTGGTTCCATCTCTCAGATGTCGACCGCCGAAATTTTACTTAAACTTTTTCATCCTATCGTAATCAATTGTTCCGCCTTCATACTCGACGAACGTGCTAGTCTTAGCAACCCACGGCCTTTCATTGTTCCCCAAGATCCTTTCCAGTTAGTTTACTAAACAAACTGCTCTACTTTCAACGCAGAGTCGTCTCTCGTTATTGTTAAGTTTATGGACCTCTCAGTGAATTCCTTTCGTTGTATATTTCTGTATTCGACTCGTTCGTCCCTTCTATAAAAATTAAAGCAGTACGGTTGCCCTGTGCCACTCATTTTGTGGTTTAAATTCATGTACTGACGGAATTAGGCGAATCAATGTGGGCAAGAATTCATCTTGTCCATTGGTTAAGCACTCCTGAGTTCCTTTCTCCCTACTTATTTGCTACTTACCTTAGTGATCTATCTATCTGTTCACTCACTTGCCAAACCTAATAAGTACCTATATGATCCATGTTATGCCATTCTGTTACAACCCATTCTTATTTCCCTCTTTATCTGAAAATCGTACTTTCATTCAAGACTTTTCGTCGCAGTCAGGTTTTAAGATCAGCTTATCACTATGTTTTGACTGCGTCATCACTCTTTCGAGTTCCACCTATCCCTGAGAACCCTTCTGCAACATTGGTTTTCGCGTTTTTAGAGCAAACACCAAGTAGTTTGGTGTTACCATGGTAGGTGATAGCAGATGGTCTGCTCATATCCTGGGCACTGTGAGCAAACTCAGCCGATTGTCCCTCAATATCCGTAAGTTGAGATAATTCACTGCCCAACAGACTGTTACCTCTTAATTTGTTTAGGTATGTATCTTACCCATTATTCCCTATTACTCCCCTGCCATCTTGCCTAATTTACTGAAAAATATTTCATTGCTCTTCGTCATGGCCCAGCCGTCATCGCCGTGTTTTACTTCTTCCTGTGAACTCCCTTGTTACCAAACTGTGCGAACTCCATATTGATTCCTGTGAATGTTTCGCTGATCACACATCTCTTTATTCTAACTTATCTGCTGATAATTCTCATTCTTCCACTTGGTCGACATTTTGACTCATTCCTTTGGGAATTAATATTTATAAAAAAAAAATCCTCCATCCTATCTTTGTCCCATTTTCTTACCGACAATGATAATTTGGTTACTGAACTGAGGATAAATCCTTTGGGTTAAATGCATTCCTTTTTGGTTCTTGTACATGCGGCGTTTTACTGAAATGTAGGTATATCTTCTTAATAAATCCTGTCATACAGTACAATACGACAATTCTTGTGTATAGAATGTGTCAAAACTGTAGTATGATTTCTGATCTAGGTCAAGTCAAAGCAAATCCTATATTTTCTCCGCAGTGTGACTATCAAACCAGTCAGTGTACAAAACCGCAAGGAGCTATCGTCTAGCGTACTTGGCAAATAGTGATTATGCTATCCGGGTCTGTATTGTTCTATGGACAAATAACTTTCTATTCTAATTGCTTTGAATCTAGCTTTGCAAGGCAGAAGAAAGTTTAAGAAAAATATCTGAACTTTTATTTAACATCTGTCTCACTCATTTAATAGCCATTGTAATCATCGAACTTCTTTCCACCGTAACCTCGACCATAGAGATCAGCATGGCTGTGGCCCTTGAACATCTCATGTCGATCATATTTGCCGAGCTCGTCCAATTTGCCATGAGCGTCGTAATGCCCGTGAGAGTCGAATCGACCCTTGGCTTTCGATCCTCCGTGCAAACCTCCGTGTCCTCTGACATCAACGTCTCCGTATACGTTGTATTTTCTGTTCTCGAAATCGTGCGTGTACTCTTTCATCTGACCATATGATTTGTATGCTCCATATTTCTGTTTCGGTTTACCGTACGAATCCAAGTCACCACCCTGGTGGAATTTGGTGACTTTTTCAAATTTGGCACTCTTTTGGCTACCACCGATACCGGCCAATCTACCCTTAGCTTGCACGCCACCGTGCATTTTGTAGCCCGAATCATGGCCCATATGACCCATCATTCGATATTTGCCTTTTGACTCCAAGTGCCCCCGTGCCCCATGCTTACCGTAGATATCGTGTCTGCTGTGGAAATCCTCCTTTTCATGAAAATCTCCTC